AGATGCTGGACCAGTACTGGCAGGGGGAATCGACTATCCTCCATCGAGAAAAGAAATTTGCAATATTGCTGCACGCGAGTGCGGGATAGGGGGACGAACATCCCAACGGGACAAGACGAAATCGCATGGATTTGGAGAGAAATTCGTAATTCGTTACTGTCGCAGATGTGAGATGTTTAATTAAATGCAAGTACAAGGAATTACGAAGCGAATTAATAATATTCGCTGGAAATAATAGTAATAATACTCGTAAAGAAAGGAGGCTTTTCTCAAGTAAAATCGGTCGCGTTTGCGGCCGCACTTGTTGACTAGTTCAGCATATCCTCTGATGTTATGTATAGGTACATCGATGATGTAAGAGAACATATGTGCAAAATCGACATATTCGAGTGACAGCTTTAACAGTGAAGGAATAATGAACAATAAATAATAGACCCGAGAACATTTAAATTTCGTTTCTCTTCGTTTTAGGTAATAGTAACTATTTTGTATATTTGTAAATATTGTATATATCATGTGTATGTAAAATTTAACCTCTTCCTTTTAGAGCAACACAGTTCATCTATTTTCTTAGAGAGTGCCAATTATTAACTTTTCCCTTATATACTTAGGACATTTTTTAACTATTTTTGTTTTTGGAGTAGATATATATAGGGGGAGATACATGATCAAGAATATTGTGGAAAACGCGGATCGTGAATCTTAAGCGTTTTGACTTGCAGCGCGAAAGGGGAAAGAGAAATGAAGTTGGGAAAGAGTTGTACTGCTCGAAGATGTTGGACTAGGGTAAATCGAGTCTCTCGGTACAGCGCAACGAAGAATTTTGCAATATTTCTGGTAACGATTTTGGAGAAAAACGCGTTGCCCGCGGTTTCCATTATTTTCGGACGGATTGATCGAATAGCGGGAAACGCGAAAAATAATTGACTGCACTTCGTGTTGGAAAAATCGCGTTGTGGATTGAGTCCTCGGATAAAAGTAAGTCGAGATCGTTAAATGAATTTTGATCGTGTAACGCATCGCTATTAAAAAAGTATCGCGTCGAAACGTTTTGTTATGAAACAAAACCTCTTAAAAAAAAAAAAAATAAAAAAAAAATAAAAAAAAAAAATATGACACTATTCCCAACGAGGCTGGACTCACACCAAATATTTATGTACAGAATTTTCATCCTGTTTTCTAGACTGCACTTTAAAACAACAGTAGTAGTCTGTATGAAATATATTTTGGCCGCTGTTCGGAAACTGGTAGAACATAAAAATAATTTACCACCCGGTATACTCGTCCTTATGCTATATATAATTTTATCGTAGACCAATATTACTTCTAACTAATCAAGATAAATATATGTTAAAATGCAAAACTGCTCGTAAAAGCTTTGCTTCCTAAATATTCTAAATACATACAAATATTGAATTTTTTAATTTTTTCGAAGACCATCTGTCCGACCCAACTCGGACACTTTGGCCACCCTTCGAGTTCGATTTATACGGCAGCATCCTCCAGCAGGCTGGGCAATATCGTCACGCTCGGGCTACCAAATTTCATAAAACACGGGCGAGTAAGTAGGGACGCGAAATCAAATAACACTTGCTGTATTAAATGCCACGAACAAACAGGTGTAATTATTCGGCAGCCAAGCGAATACCAAATAATTATCAATGATTCGCTGCGTTTCCACGGCGAAAGTATCGGATGCGTTCTGCTGCCCCGCCCCCTTCCCCGTACGGAACTAAATTAACGTTGTTGAGTGTAATAACAAACGAATTCCGCGAATCGATCGCGCGTCGCCCGAGGACTTTGAAAATTTAAAAAAATAAAGAAAAAAAAATGAGAGAAGGAAAAAAAGGAAACGTACAGAGAACCCCCTGTTTTCGATGAGAGGCATCGCGTACGCATCGATCGACCTCGAGATAACCTCCCTGGTTAATTAACTATCGGCGATTTACGAATTCGCGCACCGCGGTGTTTTCATCGCGCCCTAATTATCATGATACTCGACGGAGAAACGCGGTATCCGGTGGAATGGGGTTGTATGCCTCGAAAAATTGGGCAATTTACGAATCATCGTTCTCCGGCCCCACCCCTGGTCAACCCAATTTTCGGCTAGGTAATTAAACGGTCGTTAATTAACAAAGGAACGCGCAACGGTTCCCAAGCTTACTTTGGGAATGCTTCGAAACGGAAATAAAACGAGTGTTTTTCGAGTTGGAGGGAACGTGTACGTTTAAGAGAACGAGGGAAATTTTTATGGCGAACCGTACTGTTCCGAAGTGAACGAGGGTGGCGTTAATGGTAGTTTCAATTGGTTCTTGATATAAAATTGGGACGCGATAATGTCCTTCCAAAAAGATGCTGCGAATATGAAAGGGTTGGATTTATGATAAAATGAAGCAAGAAATATTTTAGACGACCTACGGTAGTATAATTATTTTTTGTAAAGAGCTCCGTTGAGAAACGAATATTATAAAGCGTCATTTGTTAAAAGCATAGAAATTAAATTAATTCTTTTGGGGGACATATTTATCAAAGTACGAACGAGTCGCGGTATGCAAAGGATATTTTGTTTATTCAAGGAAAAAGAAAACAGTGTCGACGAGGTTAAACAACGTTCGTCTACCATTACAATGGGCGCAGTACGTATCTCAAATTTGGCTATTTATTTTGCGACTACCCTCTATGACGAGAATCAATTAAACATGCGCCGTTTTTCAGACGAAGAGCAGGTAATTGCAGCGTGGGATGACGCATGTGTTGCAATGGCAAAGAAAAATGATGGAACAGGGTTTCGTTATTATTTTCGACAATGAAGGGGACAAAGTAAATAGAGTTGCACGCTACAACTGCCTTACTTGAGAGTTGATAAGAACGATAAATAAAACGAATTATAGATTTAGTTAATTCCAAAGAAATTAAAATGAATAGCACGTGAATTTCATGAACATTAAATATGCCCTATTTAATTAAACATTCCTTTATAGTTAGGCTAGAAAAATCCTTGTATATGGGAAGCACGTCTAAAATCCTTTCGTCGATTCAACTTGTCTTAGTTTCTGGAATATTTCAGTCCTTAATGGCCGGTAACTCGGTGCATGCGATGGTTGGGTTCACGAGGAATTCTGGCTCTAGTGTATTGTTTGCGCGCATTGTCGTGTACGTGTTACTTCGGTAGGAAAGGTGGATACGATCCCGCGTTCATCCCATTTGATACCGGTCCGTCCGTGACGCGGAAGCTAATTAACGGCTCATCGACCAGCCGAACTTTATGCGTCTAAACGCAGTGGATTAATTGGTGTACGGACGATGCCACTTGAGTCTTATACGTTACGAAGAGCAGGCGATAATTACGGACTATACCATTGTGGGATTTGTTTGTCCACTACAAACGTTTTTGTAGATATGCTTGGTTCTAAGGATGGATCCTTGAAAAACACAGCGTGAAATTTTACAAAATTACTTTAAGATTACTTCCAATACCTCTTCAAGGTCAGCTCCTATTTTTACAATTAAATCTGAATATCATTTAGTCCCTAAACATTAGTTCTTAATTTTTTTTAGCTCCCTGGGATCCCACCCTCTTCGATATCAAAGCTGTACCCTACAGTTTCAACCAACGTAACCCCTCTCTCGCACGATATAGTTCGTAAAAAAAATGACACATCGTCAAAAAACAGGTTGGCTAGCGGACAGGTCACGGTAGTTCAAGTTGCTTAATTTGGGCGGTACCAAAACTCGATTCCTCGACGCCATCGATGAATCGATCCGCGCCGGCTCTCTCCTACGCGATTATAGGTGTGCAGTGTACACGGGAACCCTAACGATTTCAAAATTTTGAATATTTCAGCGGGGGAACGCAATCACGGGCTGTCCGACAGAGGAAATGTTTAACGACAACGATACACACAAAGCTGAAATTAATTAGCTGCAGACTTCCGAACCTGTTAGCTTCGATAAAGTGCGGGGCCAACCAGCGAATCCAGCGAGGCCGTGTGCACGAATCTCTCCCGTGAATAACGCAACAGCTACTACGACCCTGCGGTTCGCGTAATCGCGGCGACACGGCCGCAAAACTTTGAACCCCCGACCTCTCTTTCTCTTGTCCGAGGCGTGTGTCCCGCGAGAACTTTGCCCCGTTGAATGGGTGCCAAACTTTCCTGGTCGATGAAGACTGGGTCAAGTCTGCGTGGCCAGCAGCTTTTCCAGAGGATTGAAAGCAACGGGTGGCTGCAGCGGTGCCATCGTTTCGTTTTGCGCTGTTGACTTGTTCGAGGGCTTGGAAACGAATGGTAGATTCAATTGGAAGCCTCGAAAGTCGGTATAGGCGGGTTCTTCGAAGCCTTGGACTTGGAATTAGGAGAATGGTTAAGAGAATCGCTGAAGTTTATCGAGGAATACGCTTGCAGCTTTATCAAGATGGTAGTAGTAGGGAAAAAGAACAGTGAGTAGATAGAATTAGTGTAATATCGAGTTACTATTGTATAGCCATAGGTGTCGCGATGATTGACAGAAGGCAGACTGGACCGTCTGACCCAAGACTGTCTGTATCCTCTTTCAGGTTTTATCTATCATTCCTCATGTATAGCGTAGGCGACTAGAATATAGACAGTGTTGAATGTTAAAATTCCCTAAAATTTTATTAAATTTCGAAGAATTTAATTTAATAAAATGTATATTTTTTGTGAATTTATTAATTTTTTGCACAGTCTCAGACCTCACGAAGCCTCAGCAAGACGTCTGACCCAATACGACCTGAATCTTCTTCCACTTCTGATCGACCATTCCCCAATGTATACCACCAGGAAGTAAAATGTGTAGTATACTCTCGTGACTCAAGAAGACTCCCAACACCCAATTTTTCGCTCTTCGTAACTCTCGAGGTTCTAACTACCAAATGTTAACTAACGTTTAACCAAGCATCTATCCCGAAACGCTTGTCTGGGTAGAGTAGACGGGATCCCGTCGATCGACTGGCGTTTTAAATAGCGTGGATCGTGTTTCAGAGAGCGTGCGGGATACTGGAGGCGGCGGAGGGGAGCACGGGGGCGGCAAGGTGTCGAAGAGAGCGAAGCCCCTGAACCCCGACGAGGAGGACCACGACAACGACGACTACTACTACGAGGACGTGGATGAAAGAAACAATCCGACCAACGAGGCACCAGCCGTGCCGCCTGGATTCCTCAGTCCCTCTGTGAGGGAGTACCTCGATCTCGGTAAATCGATACCCGGTACGTAAACAAGATCATCTCGCGGAAAGTTGCCCCTTTGCGAGCTGTTGCTCCTCTTCAGCTCCACCTTTCCTCCCCCAACTGTTCCACCCTTGCAAGGTTCCAGGAATTTCCTCTTTCCCCCGATCTCTTTCGAGTCGTCCCCACCCCTAACGGCTCTCCTCCAACGCTTTCATCCGTCTGCTTTTAGTTGCTCGCGTTTTTCATAGTTCTCTTCGAGGGGGCGGGTTGGGTTCTTTTGAAATCGCGATCGAACGCGTGAAAAGCGAGCCGATCGGGCTCTCAGGGAGCGATGAAAATGTCGAGGGACTCTTTTTGCGACCATGGTCAGCGTTACAATTGATAGAGCGCGCAAGGTATCGTAGAATCAGTGGCGATCTCGGTAACTATAATGCGCAGCAAATCTGCTAGAAGCTTGTGGATGCTGAGAAGCTGCTATTTGTGAGACTCCAGTTGAACCTTGGATGGCTTTTCTCAGTGATAGGCAGGTTTATACAGTTTTTTATTATTTATTATGGAGTAATTCATATAATAAAAATTATTTTCTTTAAGCGAGCCAAGGGCAAGTTGAACATTGATATACGGAGATAATTGATGACCACTTTATATATTTTTCGAATTCTTTCGTCTTGTTTTCGGCCACAATAGTACAAACAATAATCGCATACAGAGATCTAACCTGGCAAAATTGTTGAATAACGAAACCATGTGGTCGAGTAGCGTCGATTTTCAGTAACTGTGGCGTTTGAATTCATAAAAAGCTGGGTCACCTAAATTTAAAGAACGGTAGTTATTAATAGAATACGGTTCATGTTCCTCCCGCGAACGATTCAATAATCCTCTGCAATATTGTGGCAATAAATTGCATCGCGGAAACGAATAAAGAAGAGATTGCGAGGAATGTCAATCAGTTTCGAAAGGGTTGATGAAATTGGAAGACAAATCAGCCCGCAGCGACGCTAATGAACGCCCTTAAACGCAATTTCCAGACGGTGGAGATCGTAATAAAAAGATTTCCAGGCGAAGCGGAACGAGAAGAATCACTGCATACCTCGGCGAGCAATAATTGTCTATGTATCTCCATCTTGTCTTTCGTTTCGCGTTTCCACAATTACATAAAGCGCTCGATTAAACCGAGGAACCTTGTCGAAAGATCCAGGCTGGTATTTCGCCTCGGAAAACGGGAATAGAAAGAGACAAATGTAAATACGTCACCCGCGGACGATCAATTTCTTCAGTTTTCCCTTTACGCTTTTCTAAAATTGCTCGCCATCTTCCGAGATTTCGACACAGCTCGAAGACTGTGCAAACATCGATGCCTCGTCGTCGATTCCCACAATTTCTATCGTCGCGACCAATTGAGCTCGCGAGGCCATCTTCTTGGTTCAATTCTAAATCGAGTTAGGCGTGTTTTTCGGGGTTGGTCGATTACTTGTTTCGCAATTGACGTATCTTTTCAAAAGTACGCTCAATTGTTTAATTTGTTAATTTAATTTATTTATACGGAAGGCTTCAGACTTCCTAGAGAGCATGGATGACCAGAATCAAACAGTGTAAAACGAGTTTCGCGAATGGTTCAATCGAGGAGGCGCTTGCGTCGACTGATCTCGCCCAGAAAAAAAAGAAGAAGATAAAATAAAAAAAGGCGTCGATCGATCGTGTTATTAATATTTAACCGTGTCCCGTTAAGTAGAAGTCACGCTAGTCTGCCTTCCATTACCTTCTTTGAAGGTTTTTCCCTGACCTGACGTAACGCAGGGCCCTGATTTTTCTTCTCGCCCTTTGTGCAGGCGCGCGGCACCCTTCAAACCCCGTCCCTCGATATTCGATCGATCGTGAAATATTCGCAGACGGTAATCGTTCCTAGTGGAAAATTTCTATAATGTAGTCTACGAAGGGTCGCTTCGAATACACCCTCGCCGGCCCCTTCCAGCAGCCTTTAAACGAACGACGAAGAAGAGAACGCGTCGCTGGAACGGATTTATTGCGAATACGCGTGTAACGGTCGATTATAAAATTTACGCGTTAAATGAAATGTTACTAAGCGAAAGAGGCTCGCCTTTCTTCTGGCGAGGCGCTGATACCGGCGACTTTAAAGCATGGCTACCGAAGATAGCGGGAAACGAGGTTAACACGTCCGCCGTTAAAGGTATTTTGCATGGCCGTTCAGACACGCTCGAGGGTGAGAGGGCGCAACTATGAACCAGTCGATTCACCGTAAAAATATATCAGAAGTCTGGAAGAAAATTCCCCGTGCACGAGGACCTCGAGCTTTACTTTGAACGAGGAGTGCGACTTGCAGATTTACTCGTTGAGGTCCACGAAAGATGCATTATTTTTTTAGCCTGTTTTCTTTTTATCTAGTGTATCTAATAATTCGTGAACGAGGGTTAACAGAAATTGGCCATTTTATTTGTTTAAACTCTGCACAAAAGAGTGTTACGCGTTTTTCCGTTCCCTATTTTTCTTTTTCGGTCTTCTCTATGCTTTGTCTCCTTCCAACGAACAATAATCTAATATTATAATATCCGATTAAGCTCCGTCGAGCGATAAAGACGTTTAATCCTTCGTAACTATTTTTCTCCGTGCTGATCCGATTAACGTCGTCCCAAGACGGATTTAAACGTTTCGATAATTCGGATGATCGCGCAGCGAGTCCAGCGTTATGTCGATTATCGATCACGGGTTCTAGAACAATGAAGGTGTTTGGAGTGGCGACAGTCCACCGCAAAATCGCCACCCTCTCTCGAGCGTGTAACGGTTATTGTGCCGCGGAATTGTTACCATGGAGGATGCCTGCGTAATTCGTATGGCAAAGATATTGTTGGGCCAGATGACTGAGATTTTTCTCATTTATATTCAAGACTTGTCCACTCGTACAACGTGATAAAATTGCTAGATAACGTGGATTAATATCAGCTTGAATGTCAATTAATTTTAGGATAAAATGATGACTGAAGAGGTCAAGATGAACAATTTATATATTGTGTAGTATCCGCGCCTCCCATATCCAACAATAAGGAGTCAAATAAGAACACGATACGTAGGGTACGGGGTTGGTCGCGTAGGTAAAGCGGTCGACTGTGGATCCGAGGATCGTGGGTTCGAATCCCCGTGCCTTATTTTTCGTTTAGACTCTTACAATATTCCACAGAAAGGTTATAAAATAATGACTCATCGAAGGGATCGAGTTGAACAATTTATATATTCTATAGAAAAAGTGATAAAAATAATTACCGACTGAAGAGGTCGAGTTGAACAATTGATAAATTTCACAAAAAAATAGATAACCAAGAAAGGTTGGCAAACTTGCCCCAACATACATTAGAAGGAAAGTCGTATGAATACTAAGCGTTAAGCCACCCCCATCTACCTGCCAGACAACACACCCTCCTGCTCGCAGGGAAGAGTTTAAAGCGACCTTAAAACCGAACTGGTGTAGCTCGCCAGAGGGTGACGAAAAAAAGGGGGTTGCGTTGAATCAATATGGCAGAGCGTAGACTTCTCTCATTGACTTAACGTTTCTCTCAATTTCTCGAAGGGTAGCGACGGTGCCGACCTACCGCCACGTTCGTCTCCCCTTTGGAGCTCAGCCCCCACCCGGTTGCACTCTCGGATAAGATAATGAAATACTCGAGCCCGGGACGCGACCTCTGCACCACCAAAGGTGGTGGGATCCTGCGGAAGCATTCCAGGGCTGCAGGACCCGGAGGAACCAGAGGGATGGGGGCGGAAGAACAAGCTTCACTCTCCTTTTCCACCGACTTCCTTCCCCCGATCGCGTTCTCCTTCCTGGTCGAATCTAACCGTGGATTTCGTTCCGTGCGTTTCGCGATGTACTACCACCCCCAGAGGGGGCAGCACGCGCATCCCTGGCGAGCCAGAGGGAGGAACCGTCACGAAGTAGACGAGCGTGGAGAAGAAGAAGAACGGATAGGAGAGAAAGGAGGCAAGTAGCGAGCGCAAGAATGAAGAGGGGAAAAGCTGGGAACCTCGTCCCATTCGCCTGACTGACTTTATGACGATGGCTGCCACGAGGGAACATAAAAGAGGGAAAGAGAGACAGTCCTGGCCGACGCATATCCCGGGCGTTCGTCCTTCATTTGCCAAACAGTGGATGGCTCCGAGTCGAAACGATCACGAATCGGTTGGCGAACCGAGCTTTCTTCCCTTTCTTCGTTTCGCGCTTCCACCGACGTCTCCATGCAGACAAGCTGTCGATTAAGGGTGGTATTTCGAGTACCCTGTCTCTCCACGCTTTCGTTTCAGCGTGCGACCTCGTGTAGGTGGATATTTAGGGTTACGTTGGATCGATATCATTTTTGGAGCATTTTAATATTGTCTGCGGCAAACGCGGACACGTCGAATAGCAATTCTCCACATTTATGGAACTCGAGAAACTAGATGTACTACTCCTTTAAGTTAACGCTTTCAGACCTAAACTACAATATTTTTTTTCTCGTACTAGTGTAATTGAATTTTCAGGGTTAATCTAGATAAAAACAAAACGTGATAGTGTAATTTTCGAGGAAAACTGGTCTTTTTCTCAATTGTGGACGCCAAGTTTGGAAGGGTTAATCATACACACTCACTAATTTCAAAAATAGAGTAGCACATCCTCGATAGTTCTAGCGTTAAAACGTGATGAAAACAATGATCCTCGAAACAGCGATTCAACGACCAAAAGCGATGCTTTCTTCCAGAGAAATCTGGAGCACAGCGAGAGATTAATCTCAAGAGTTACATATGAGAACGAACGGGCATTACGAGACACGCGACGAGTCCGAGAGATCGCGTATTTGCGTGTACACCGTGTTTTTAAAGCGCGGGGGTGGCTTGTCGTTAAAAGCTTCCGGTATATGCCTGCGCGCTACCGCGGCGACCTAAAAGAACGAAATAATTAGAACGATCGTCGACGCGTCGCGGCGCGCGAAGGGATGAAAAGGAGAACGCGGGGATACGTTTCGCGGTGTCGACGCAGAATCCACCAAAGTTATAAT